TAATACACCAACAGAAACATTTTCCCATGAACTAAAGGTAGAAAACAGGAAAAATGAGATTGTAACAGGGTGGTCTGCCCCTTTAAGTCCCAGGGTGGGGGGCTAGGAAACAACCAGCTCTGTTCCAAGGAAGAGCCCAGCAGGCAGGTGCTGGGAATCATCAGACCCAGGTGGGCAATGTCAGGTGACTGGGTCTGATAACTACCATTAGATGATACAGAAGTGGGCCCCAGCTCCATTAAGTAGAACCTAGGACCATTCTAATGCCATGAGAATACTTGCTTATGACTAAAAGCCCAAGTTGCAGACCATGCAGTGGAGGACAGCATGGGCCAGGAGACCCTGGAGAAGTCCCTGTGCTGAGGGAAGACTCTAACCACTAGACTACTAGAGGCCAGGGGACCCACAACCTATACTGGGGAGCGGGGCAGTTACATTATGTTGTTGTTAACATGTTCTTTTGATGTTTCAACAATAAACGGAGCCCTGAGGCAAGGGAGCTAAAGACTGACTTGGGAGTGGCTATTTATTCCCCCAGGCTGGTGAGTGAGCTTAGCATTTTACAGAGATACTTAAGATAAAGGTTTGAGTTTCTTCTGCTTTGTGCTTTTGTGACCTTTGACTTCATGGAGTGGGGTTCTGAGTGTTACTGGAACTAGGTGATGGAGAAGCTTCGTCATAGATCTTATCACCAGTGGGAGTCTCTTGGACAGGATCAGACTGGTCAGGCTGGTATTGCTGATGACCAGTCCTTTATCTCCTCTTCTCCTAGGTGACCTCCCAAAGGGAAATAGGAGTGTTCCTTTCAGATGTTGGTGGACTGGGGCAGCACACATGCTTCCACTTTTTTGGAAGACAGAATACTGGAGTAGATGGACCATTGGTCTGACCCATTATGGCCATTTTTATGCTGCAGTGTATTGTACTAGCTGGAGTTTCGTAAGTGCTGATGGCTTCCTGCCCAAGTATACTGCATTGTTGTAGTCCAGCCGAGATGTGACAAAGACATGAATAATTGAGGCCTTTGTCTGCCAGTATGGGATGGAATCTCCTAGCCAGCTGGAGATGGTAGAAAGCATTACTCATGGCTGTTGTGATGTGGGAGCTCAGCATCAGCAAGAAATCTGAGAGTACGCCTAGACTATGGACTGAACTGACCAGTTGTGGATGTGAACCGTCAACCAAAGGGGAGTCAACATGGCTGCAAAGTCCTCAGGATACTTTCCTCTGCCCACCAGCATCACCTGGTCTTGCTTGGGTTCAGCTTCAGCCAGCTGTGCTTCATCCATGAGCTGATCTCATCCAAGCACTGGGCCACCTTGGTGGTAGGGGTATGTGGTGAAGGATAGGTAGAGCTGTGTGTCATCTGCGTATTGCTGGCCTGTGAATCCATGTTGTTTGACCCATACACCTAGCGGTTGCATGTAGATGTTGAAAAGGACTGGCGAGAGAACTGATCCTTGTGGAACCCCACAAGTGAGGGGTCTAGTGGTGGTGTGTTTTCTCATCACTACTTTTTGGTTGTATCCCTCCAGGAAGGGCTCAAACCATTTTAGCATATTATCCTGGACCCCTGCCATCTCTCTCGGGTCAGACAGCAGTATTTCGTGGTCAACAGTGTTGAACACTGCAGAGAGATCCAGGAGGATGAGAATGGATGTCTGTTCTCTATCTTTTGATTGGAGGAGATCATCTATCAGTTCCATAAAGCTGTTTCAGGTCCGTGTCCTGGCCTACACCCACATTGTCCTGGGTCTAGAATGTTGGCTTCAGTTAGATGAGCTGATAGGCAGCCTTTGACTAGTTCCTCTATGAGCTTGCTCAGGAATGATAGGTTTGACACTAGGTGATAGTTGGCTAGGAGTTTACTTGATCTTGAAAAAAATAAACCATGGTTAAGAATGACCTTACCCCCACACTCCTGAAAGTCAATAAAAGAATATGTTTACCTAAACAATAACAACAAGATGGGTATTATCCAATGCCTTTTCTGGGCCAATAAAAATAGCTCTCCGAGTTAATTGAAGCAGATATGGTGTTATACAGATATTCACTTCAGTGTGAAACTGAGACAGTACCAAGTATCAGCTATTTTTCTACCCTTCAAACAAAGGGAAGCCTTATGCCTTCTGTTATTTATACCAATTCATTTTGTTGCACTTATTTGTTTTATGAAAGAGATGAAAGCAAGCAAATGCTAACGAAGAAAAATAAATGACTCTGATGTTCAGTTGAGCTGTTCATGAAGGTTAATATTTGCATTTGGAGTGGAACTTGGATATCAATTACACAGAAATATGATCAAGAGGAACATTTTGTTGGCAAGCTGCTTGCATTCTTACTCGACCAAAAAACTATTACAGGGCTAGATATTTATTCTTTAAATATCCCCGTTTTCAGGAGAATCCTTATGCTCCATGCTAAAATAGAAAAAGATTTATTTCTCTATCTGTACGTGCTGGGGTTTATAGGGAACTAAAGGAGAAAAAATACTGGAGAAGATGGAAAGGATTATAGTGTGTGAAAATGCATATAAATGAGCAGAGTGAGAGAACATGGGTCACCTCCTGAGAGCAAAAGCCATCTTGCAGTTCTCTCTCATCCGATAGCCATTTGTAGCACATCATACAAGCGGGGCTTGAGCCTGAGACTCCTTCCCTTCCGAAACTTCAATGAGAATGATGCAAAGCGAACATATCTCTGGTTGTGGCCCAAGAGAGGGAGGCAGAGCACAGCAGTCTACCTGACTGGCATGAAAGAACAGAATGTGCACTGTCTCCAGCATTTTTGAGGGGTAACTATTATTCTCCCCACTCACTGTCCTGCTGCTCTTTTGTGTTCAGCAAGTTTCATTTCCCTCCTGTCTAAATCTAAAGAAAAAAGTACTGAGACTAAGGAACTGAGGTTCCCAATGATCCACTGGTACTTCCCATCACCCAGAATTAGAATAACATGTGCATCATTATAAGGGAGTGTTTGTTGAATATGACCATTTTTAGCCAAGTGATACAGTACGCTCTGTGATGCAGACGTGTTTGTGAGGAATTTCAGGAAGGGAAAGTTTGCCTCATTTTCAAAGCTTACATTGGCAAGATGAGTGTGGTGTTGTGTTTTTGAACAAACATTTGTTGCCTTCTGTTATTCCTGTATAACCCTTAAAAATGCTTAGTCCTTTTTCTTAATACTTCAGAAATTGGCAGTTTTAGTAGAAGGCTTAGCTATTAGAATAGATGCAGGCAACTCTCTCTTTGTGTGTTGTTCTGCAGTATGTGCTCATTGTAGGAAATTACCTAAATCTGAAAGAACAATTAACATACTTGTAACAACGGACTGTCCTGATCCTGCAATGTGATGCATGCAGGCAAACCTCTACTCCCATGTGGAACCCTGTTGATTTCCATTGTAGGATTGAAGCCAAAGTAAGCACCAAGTCCTGCTACCCTTACTCATACGAGCAATATATTGAAGCCAAAGCAACTGCTCCATGTGAGTAAAGGATGGAACATGAATTTAGCTGTCTTTGATACATTATTGAATCTTTTGTGCAGTGTATGAATTATTTTCAGCTTATTTGCTTTTTAAATAGCACCAAAACAGTACAGCTAATTTCAATGATTGAACAAAGGAATTTGTGTTTTTTTTACAGCAAAAGCATGACAATTTAAAACCTCCTTCCGTTTAAAAAATGGTTTTGATATCTTTTCATGATTATATCACTTATTTCAAAGATGAGTCAGTTCCCTACTTGGATTCAGCTTTTAGCTCCTAAAACCAGTGGAATCTTATGTTGGTTAAAATCATACATGGCTTACTATTAGAGCTATATATCAAAATGAACACAGAGTGCCAACTTTCTTTGGAATAGCAACACTGAATTCATGTTCTGGAAGTCTACAGACTATATCATTTTTTTTATCATGACAGGAGTTGGCTTTCAGATCTTTCTGTTAAAATACAAAATAATCTTTCTTGTACATTTCATTAAAATGTGCACCTCTGTGAGCTTTAAAGGGAATATCTCACTTTCATTTGTTTTATCCATTGCACGAGGCAAAAAATTACAAAATACACAAAGGGCCTAATTCAGCACTTAAAGCACATGCTGGACTTTGACTTCCATGGGACTATTCAGGTGTTTAAAGTAAGCGCTTTGCTGGATTGGGGCCATAATGTGAAAACTGAACCTGTTTAAAAAAGACCGTTTCCTTCCCCATCTGAAGAAACTCCACAATATTTAGAACTGATCAGGAATTTTCCTTCAGAATGATTATTAGGCTTGATTTTATATTTTTTTGTTGTAGAGACATACCGAAAATAAAGCCTGGTGCAATTGAGACCTGGTCTACACCAGGCTAAAATTTAGGTCGGCTTGCCTACATTGCTCAGAGGTGTGAACAGTTCCTAAGCTCCAGTGTAGGAACTGCTAGATCGATGGAAGAACCTAGCTACTGCCTCTTGAGGGGGTAGGTTTACTATAGTGACAGAAACTGTCTCTCTGTCTACACCATAGGGGTATAGCTGCAGCTGAGCCGCTGTAATGCTTGTAATGTAAACATACCCTAAGACTACACTACCTAAACCTCTGGACTCCCTCTGGCTGATGATCATTTGTATTTACTGTATTTGGCCTAGAGAAGGCACGGTCTATCTGACTGATGTGCTCTGATACTTTTATGTGTTAATAGGAACATTTGTGGAGATCCTCATATATTCCACCTTTCTATTAAAAGGAAGCTCTACGCAGGTTGGTGATTGGCCTGGACAAGGGATAGGGCAGGGAAGGAATGGGCTGGAATGTGATGGCTCTATCTGAAGGAGTGGTGGAATTAGCTTTGAAAGGAACAGGTGGGAGACAGCCCTTTATGCAAGAGTGGGGCATTACCTATGAAAGGGACAGAGGAGGGGGAAAGCCAAAAGATGGTGCATGATTATAAAGACATTGTTAAAAATATTTCTATATACTGACATGCTTTATGTTCACATTTTATATATCTGTACAGGTTAGCGATGTCTGCCCATAGGTTAATTTCCAACCAAACATCTCAGCAAGCTTTATCGAAGTCTGATTACACTTGGGAGTATGAGTACTATGAGTATGGACCAGTTTCCTTTGAAGGACTGAAAGCTCATAAATGTAAGTCCTATCTGGCAGTTCTGTATTCTATGCTTTGAAGTTCCTGGTGTATTCCTAATGGATAGCTTTTCAAAAACCTTTTTCTGTGAATTGATTATCCCACACACAGCTCATTGAATTAATAGCATCATTGATTTCTCTTTGTTGAAGTATTTTTTTTTCTTATTCATATCGGTACCTTGGGATAGCTGGGATACCAGTTCTTTGGTTCAAATAGAAATTTCCCCATACTTTATGATCCACTGCAACATCTAGTTGCTTTATGGAGAAGAAAAAAGTTCTCTCTGATAAGAAAAGAAACGTAGCTGCTTTGTTCTTGTTAAAATATATATGAAAAACGATTAAGGTTTAAAACACATTTTGAAAATTCTCTTTCAGGTGAGACCTTTTATCATTATATGTTTGCTAATAGTGGTGACCATTAAAACAAGTATATGTAAATAAGAAAAGATTAAACAAGTGTGTAAGGGTCTCAAGGGTTCAGGGAATAGAATACAGAGACCTGGCTTACTGATAGTGATGGTTGTTGCCCTCTGAAAGCTATTTGGTGGCTTGTGTCAAAGATATTGGTGGTGTCAGCTAGTTCCCATTGTCCATGTCAGCACCATAATCTGCATTGCTTGTTATAAATCAATTATATAAAACAAATAGAGGGAACTTTTTAAATTTTAGAATCAATTCATAGTTTACAAACCATAGGTTTGTATTTAGTCATTAGTCAGAAGGATCAAATTCACTATAAACTATTGTAATTATAATTAAGTAGTGGTGGATAGGGAGAATAGCTTGTTCCAGACAGCATGCTGAATTAATATGAAATGTCATGTATTTCATATTTATGCAGTTGTCATCAGAATGAAATCAATGTCCTGTGTGTTCTACAGTCTTATTGTATAACCTATTTTGAAATATTATTTGATTAAATAGGAATATATCAAGGTAAGGAGCTGTATAGTAGGCTATTGCAGAGATTTGTATTAGGTTTGTTATTCTTTAACATCTTTAATGATATGGAGTGGGCTAAACCACATGCTTATTCCCATATTATACTCATGTGAAAATTGCCAACCAGCAGTTCAGACCAAAAAAAATCATACAAAGGTGTAGCAGAGAGGTTAGAAATAAAATGAGTTTCAACTTGAACAAATACAAGGTAATACAACTGGGAAACATACAAAATCTAGTCAGTGGACTTGATTCTGATCTTCCTGGTGATTTTACAGTATCTGACTAATGCATGGGCTTCTGTAATTCCCGATGACTCTGACACTATTGCGTAGAGAAAAGTCCTAGAGGCTTAAAGTTCTTGCATGAAGAAAGAGTTGGTTTTAATGGCAACTCAACTGTATTCAATAGAATTCACCCTCTGCCCAGGAAATCAGCTGCAAGACAGGTAGAATTTTAAGGCTATAGGACTGTATTACAGAGCTAAAATATGCAGTTGGTTCTTGCTCACTGCAGGAAATGCTTCTGAATGGGCACACCCATGTGCTGCAAAAGCAACATTAATGTGGGTGCATGGGGGGGGGGTCAAGATAAGAGTAGGTGCTTTGGTATTAGTGTTGAGGGCCATATAAATACCTGGGTGGATGGATGCCAAAGTGTCAAACAAAACTTGTTTGCCAGGGAATATAAACAACTTTAAAGGGAGAGGGCTATACCTGAACTTGCATTTCAGCCTTAATTATAGCATGCTTCACTGTGCCTGCTGGCATTGTCAGACCCTTATGACTCATTTGGTTTTTATTTTTTAAAGACTAGATATTTGACAAAAGTAGGTTCTTAAAGATATCTCACTTTAATCATGTTCTCCCTAATCTGTATTCCATTTAGCCAGAGACTGAACCTGGAGGTACTGATTTTGAAGATTTGCTATATTATCACATTTAGTCACATATTAGACAAAAGTAAAAGAGGAAAGATAGAACTGATAGTTGCCTCTGGGTCTCATAAAGTCTAGCACCACAGACCTTTGCTGAACTCTATTTAAACTAATTATGACTGGCATGGCAAACCAGCGGGTTTCACTGTCAGATATTTTATGGAGTTCTTGAGTAACTAATTCAGCTCAATTTAAATTAAATTTTAGTTGCCATAGGCACCTGTCTTTAGTGTGCATCAAAGCAACCCAGTGTTTTGATAATACCAAATGTATAAATAGGACCCAATCCTGTGGCCCTGATTTAGTTGGGATGGTAATGGGTGCAATTCCTTTGAAATACTGGTGAAAAGTGGGCACAACTCCATTGTCTTCAGTGGAATTGCATCCACTTTTTCCAATGCTGAATTGTGTTCACTGACTCCTGAAGGAACTTTTGAGTGACTAAGGGCTGAAGTATCTTCCCTGACCCTTTGCATCCCTTCACTTTAGTTGATTCTGGAAGCATGGCAGGACTGTGTGAATGCAACAGTTTGACAGAAGTGCAGGGTCCCCATTACACAAGAGGTAACTTGAGCTCCTTTTCTCCCTTGCCCTGCGTAGGGCGGCAGGAGAGAGAGAAATGGAAAGGCATGATGATGATGGTTCCATACTCAAGTGGTTAGTGAACCCTAACCTGAGGAAGCTTTTGGTTGTGTCTGTGTTTGATAATGGTAACTTGATTTATGCTGATAAAGATTTGCTCCTGCTGTTTCATTTGTGGTGAATCATGTAGTTTACAAGCAATTTATTAAGGTCATGTTTTGGTTTTATTTATTTTTCATCGGTTTCCTCCAGCTCTTACTAGAGGCAGGACCCAATTTATGAATCTGAACTTTTCATAGGTGCTTCCATTCTAACCTCCTTTTTCAAAGAAATAACTTTTACGTTTCAGCATGAAATCTTCCCAGTGTTGGTCTCTGCCCAAAGGTGGATTTATATGGAAAGTTCAAGCACCAACCCCCCCGCACCTTCCCCACCCCCAAAAACAAAACACCCCAGCCTTTTTTGAGTAACCAAAGGTGGTGCTGCAGGATGTCCCTGTTATGGGAATACTTTTCAGAGAAGTACCACTGCCTTAAGAAGAATTAGAGAATGGACTGGATTAATGCTTTCTCTGGCACCTGTCCTCTTTCCTCATTAGTTTATTAATAGTGATAGCTGTTAGAGCTGGTTACAATAAGCTAGTTATCTCTTGGTGAAGGAGGAGACACATCGTGGGGACAGTTATATATTGAATTCAGACTAATGTGCTCGATTCCAAACAGTGATCATAGTCAAATTAATCTAGAAAACTTGATGTTATTAGCAGATAGGCTATATTTGAATATCCTGGAGCATTACACTATGAAAAATGGATGCCAACTGTGGTATGTCTGCCAATTTGCTTACCTGTGGTCTAAAGCAATATGGAATTAAACATTAGTTCTTTGCATGGAATATATTAATGAGTCATGATCACCCTCATGCCAGGTAGCTGTTAATAACTGTGGATACTAATAACAGCGGATACTACTACTAATGTTCTTGCAAATGGTTTAATGGAAGCTGTTTAATGCTAGTGAGGAATATGGTCTCTTTCAAGGTAATAGCAGTTAGGCAGAAATTGTGGGAGGTAACAATGGCGTGATTAAATCTTTGCCAGTTCCTTTTGTAGGGCGTGCTAAGTGTTTTCTCTTGTAAACCACAGTGAGGGTGCTTTTAAGTGCTCAGACATACCCAATCCCATTATCTCCCTCCTTCCCCTCAAAAAATTCTTTTAATTTGATGACTGCTAAATTTATCAGCCTTTTTAACTAAGATGTCTGCCTTGCAGTTCCCTTTTAATGCAAGATACCTTATTAATCCTTAATGCAGGCAGAACTTAACACTTGAGTCGGGGGTACAAAATGTGAAACTGTAAACAAAAGGAGTAAATATTTTAATTAAAGATGGGCCCCAATACAAAAACCTGGATATCAGCACACCTGCACGTTAGTAGGTGGTGAAGTGGGAATTTTAATTGACAATATCAGTAGCCCCATCTCTGTAATGAACTGGGTTGGAACCCTTCTGAGCATTATGGCTTTCAGAGCCGGCTTTCAGAGCCGGCTTTGAACGTTGCAGCCTGTCTCTAATTTTAATTTTCTAGTTCCTAACATATGTATCTGTTGGTTGGGACTTTCTACTACAAATTACTAAAAGATGCTAAGTGATCAGGCTTTCTCACACACCTTAAAATATGTGGCAAAATTCAACTTTTGGTATATCAGTGCAACCCCAGTGAATCCACTGAGGTTACAGTGGTAAAACTGAGCGCAATATTTGGCCATTAGTCACTTAAATTGTGTATATGTGATTCATGGTGTCAAGATGTAGCAGTCAGTGGAGGAGTCCTGTGCTTTCTGGCAGATGCAGATGATAAAGAAGCAAATTTGGAACAACTGTTCATTTTCTCTGCATCTTGAGATTGATGGGTGAAATCTTCTCAATGGAATTCTACAGCATTTAAGGTGTTATGAGAGTGTAAAAGGATGTAAGGGAAGGCAGGCAAGGGTAGTGGCTATGATACACTTGAATTCTTCTTTTTGTGTGATTGAGGAGGATGTCCTCCTTTTTAAAATGGTTAGCTTGCATATGTGTGGGGTAGCTGGGGGAGTTGAAAAGGGGAGAATATCTAGTAAAACAGGAAAAATCTTATCCCAAAGTGATAATGCAATTGAAAGCCCCGCAGGCTTCATAGAGCAATTATTTATTATTGCATTACTTTTCACTACTCCCAGTTGGGTGAAGGGAACAATATATTTTTTCAACTACTGATTACATTTGGAAAGTGTATGTAGAAATCCTCCAGGCAACTGGCGTCTGTATTTTAACCACTGTGCAGCTTTAGGTTTCCATAAATATTCATCACTTTCCAAACAACAATTCAGTTTGAAATCGCTTTTATATAAAGTCATGCTTGTACTGTTAATGCTCTGTCTGTTTTCCTTCATTTTTTCCTCTGTATTTAAAATCCACGGAACTGGAGACTGGTTATATCGCCACTCATTAGGGGGACATTAACAGCTGCAAGATTCGAAGATTTTTTGTGTGTGTATGT